AGGATATCTGGCAAGGTTCCTATAAAAAAATAAAGTCTGTGTACACATACAACAAGCTCAGAGATATATATGAAAAAAGATATTTAATATGAATTGGTACCGGGCAATTTTTGAGAACATTCATAAAACATTTTTGAGAATATTTTTTGACCAAAAATAATGAGTCCCGAGATTGACACGCATAGCATCCTAACTATTAGACTAGCCAGGAAACTAGATCTTCTATTTTTTTTTCTGATATTCAATAACCTATTCTTCTCTAGTTTTTCGTTTGGTTCAAAAGAACAGAGTTTACTCTCATGTTCCTCTAGCCCTTTTCTACAAGATTTAAGACCAATTTGTCAGGCTTTGCGGTGAGTTCTTTTAAAGACCAGAAAAGAAAACTTATTCAACAAAAAATTGCTAGCATACCAGTTACCTGGTTAAGGGCCATGTGACTGAGAATTGGATTATTAATTAATGGATCAGTAAAAAATCACAAATTTAGGTTGATACCACAGATTTATAAGACAAAATACTTCTCTCGATGCCTTATGCTTTCACTTCTCTATAGAAACCTAAATAGACAATACCCATAAAACCATAAATTCGAAAACTAGTTCCGGCATATAATCTAACTCTAAAAACTTAATACTTTTGCTGCAATCGTTTCGCCTTACTGCATCAAGCTAATAGACAGAACCAAAATTGAAACTATACAGTACATTGGAACACCATCTTCAGCGCTTTTTTACAACAACTTGAGAGACAGTTCTAGGAATTAATCTATATATAACTATAGGGAACTATACATCTAGGGACTTCCAGCTAAATATGCAGAAGAAAAGACAAGAGTATTAACGTATTAACTATATCGGATACAATGTTAATCCTCAAGTCTTCCATCGATATAATGTGAAGCAGCAGCATTAGATGTTTCCGATGACATTTTCAAAAAGAGGGGTTCTCTTGTAGATATAATAGGGCACTTCGGCAATATCATAAAACCTATTCTGCACACTAACAAGAATTTATAAAGAATGTGGTCAAGTGTTCAATAATTACTAAATATCAGTATAATGAGTAACCTGCCGAACTAAAATAATCATGTCTTTCTTATATTACCTCAGTAATTTTGCGATTTTCTTAAGAATGTGGTTCTATTTGTTATGTTATGTTATAAAAAAGTCTTATCTTAGGATGGGTTACTATCTGGGAAAGGAAAGCCAGAATAAGGGGTATCCAAAATCTATTGACGTTAAGATGACCACCTTGACCAACATTTCTCGCTTAAAAGGCGAGTTGGTTATGAATCATCCATCTCCATTTTTGCTTCACCAGCCCCGTTGAGATCCCAATGTTCCGAGCCCATACAAATGGAAGAAGGGTTTTAGATTCTATGTCACAACATTGATCACTAATAGTGAAAAAAAATGCCAATGTAAGTAAGTTTAAAAGCGATAGTTTATTTCATTAGTCGCAAGATTTTTTCACAGCTGTGTAGAGATTTGAGACTTGAAATCTTCAGAACTCTCATATTCAACTTTTAGCCATCTATAGCGAGAAAAACTTTCTGGATTAGGGAAGATATTTTATACATTTCAAAATGAAGACAAAATATTGCTGTACCAATATTTATCGGAATCCCTTCCAAGCAAGTATTTTCTGATTATGAACCTCTATCAATTGTCCTGGTTCTACTTCTTGGATAGAATAATGAGCTCGTAAATTTCTTTTCTATAGAGCTTCCGACACTGTTAGCTTGTAAATAATCTCAAGATTTCCAATGACCATATTTCCATCCTCTGGAGTACCGAAGCTTTAGATAGTACGTCTTTAAATCTTTTTTGAGTCTTTGAATTGGTCGCGACATCTCATAACAAACATATTGTCAGTAATGAGGTTGTAAGTATCCTTTTCCGAAAAAACATTCTTCTTTAGCACCCCAGTACTTCCTAATTCACCTTTCAGAAGTCTTCGGCTTTGGAATATAGAGCAAAGGTGAGATCTCTCTATCCTTTTGGAAAATATTCTTGCTTGAGATGATGCAACAATATGGAAGAATTCATGGAAAATAGTATTGTTCGCATGCAAAGCGAAAGATTTACCAATTAATCTATGATCCAGAATATTAATAAAATAAAAAGATTATTTATAAAGTAAATATTAGTCCAATATGCGAAAATATCTTTTCCTTGTACGAAAAACAGTTTCTCTTTCCTCTTTGTCTTTGGTGAAGTCGATACACTTTTTTGATACACTTTTGTTTTTTTAACCATTGAGAGCTGGCCTAGTTCACGGTTACAATATGGGGTCATGGATATTTCTTAAAGGAAAGAGAGAGTGATCCAAGAATCAAAAAATAGAATAAAAGGGCTCTGAAAATTGCAGTACCAGAGTGGAAGGGATATTACAAGCACATGTGAACTAGATATACGAAATGATTTTCGGACATTATTCGATACTTTCAGACGAGATATCAAGCTTATAAGATTGCTTTACATCATATTTCATTTGTGTGTGGCCACTGCTGGAACAGGAGTTAGAATATTAAAAGAGTAAAATCTGCATTCCTATCGATATATTCGGAAAAATGGCGATGTAAAACATTTACTAATAAGGAAATCCCGACGTTTTGCTCGTGTTTTGATTATTATTTCAGCTGTGGTATACAGTCCCTACCTGAAACCACTAGCAAGTGAAAAGCTGCCAACCTCTTTCACAGGCTATTAAAGCCGAATCTATGCAAAGCTCCCCTTCTGGATTTCGTTTCCAAATATGCCTTATTAATACACTACTTTTGCTATACTACCAAATGGATAGCTGCACAGTGAACTCTGCAGCGTTTCTCTTAAATGTTGCCTATCATCTGACGCTATAGCATTCATGCAGTAAATACGAAGGGAATCCAAGACATGGAATAATCTCTGAATTTGCAATTTTCTCAAAATCTAGTAAAGCGTTGAGCAAAATTCCCTCCAGGCTAAAAATACGTGACGGAGTATTATCTATGAGATTGATGTTCAAGTTGCAAACACACTTTATCAATTGAAACAAGGATAGATGAGAGCATAGCTCTTTTTTATTCAAATCTTGAAATAAATCGCAGTTAAGAGGATCAAATTTAGTGGCTGCCGACATTAACTCTTTAATTTTTGTCTTAACAAAATTAGTAGTAGCTAGATTTCATCTCAAAGAGTTCAACTTGTGAGTAACTATTTTCAACTGTCGATATTGGATTACTCTCTTCATTATTTTACTCTTTTCTCTTTTCACTAATAAATACAGCCACCAATTTAAGTAACTTTTTACACTTTTTGCACAATATGGGATATAAATGGTGGAAATTATGTTATCTCCGTCTCAAATTAGAGCAAGAAAGAAATAGGTATCTCGATGCTGACTATGGAAACAAAATTATTAACAAGATAATTTACCTACTTTTGATTTCTTTTGCAGGCCCTTTCATTGTTGGATTTTCTCATAAACACTGCTGGCATTCTGGTTCGCCCGCAAAATTGAACACAATTGGAGCTGGAAACAATTGGGGCTGGCTATACGTTCAACACAATTAGCACAAGTTATCTGAAGCACCTCTTAATCACAATCATAAAATAAGATGATGTACTCAAATATATTTCATTCTCTATAGCTCAGATATCTATATCAAATAACTAATATACCTAATATAATAATACTATTGAGTTAGGAAGGTATAAATGGCAATTTATTATAAACTTTTCTAAGCTTTGATCCGACGATACTTGAATGTGAACTGTGATCAAATATTTCTTACTAAGAAGCGCTTGCAACCACAGTAACATCACCGAGCGGAAAAATTTTGGTTTCTACTTACTCGTGACATCATTGAGAAAAACAGGGCCCGCTTGAGTATCTGAGAAACCGAAACTATTTAAAAAATATTTAAGTAAAGAAAGAGTTCTGAACAGGGATGAAGTAAATCATCTTTTTTTTTTCTGAGATCTGTGCTCATTTCTGAGATCTATCTCTACTCAAAAGAATACAATAGCCTACTTATGAAAGATGATCTATCATTTGTTAGATTCTGATAAAGCGAATGATCGTCATTGTCAAGAAGATTTCGTTGTGAAGAGAAGATTCGATAAGGTGTTAATCATTCAAACGCTGGAGACCAAAAACTGTACGCATAGAAGGTCTGAAGTGAAGGTAAACAAATGTTTGTCTGCTGTTTGGATTAAAGTTTCTGAAGTATGAGAAGAGAGACTAACATATACTTTGACTAATGCTTACTGATATGTATTTCATTTGAATTAACCTAACATGCCACTTTTAAAAAATCGATTTGCCATTTGGTGATTTGGCAAGTTGACTAATTCCTTCTATTTAACTTATTTACAAGCGATTATCAACATCCATTTTGGGTTAACATTTCTTATGATATTTAGAAATAATTTCACGAAGAGTCGAGTCGTTAAAATCTTTTTAGAATAGTGTGCGCCATCTATGAGTGTCATAAAATAATTAGCTGATGTGAGTCTGAGTTTCCTTTCGAGATCGAGCTATAATGAGTCATGCCGCGGACGGGACAACAATGAGACTAGAAATCATTCTAAGAAGCCTCGTAATTGCACAATGTAACTGGAGAGGGATATTTCAACATAAACTATAGCCAATTGAGGTACCTCCATTGCCAACGAGGTGTACCGTTTTGATTTACATTTATAATTATGCTGCTCAATAATGAGATAGACGCTCAGAGGGATTCCCCAGGGGATGCTCTTAAGCAATAACATCACCATGTTTCGCATGTATTCTTCTACTATTTCATGTCACTAAACACATGCTCAGGAAACACAAAGATTATTAGCGCTCTTTCACGCTATTTTTGAACCTGGAGATTTAGTCAAACATGTTAGCATGTTTGAAGTCTCCCCTAGACATTTTAAAGTTATAATTTGTACCGACAGAAGGCTACTAAGTTCGAGGACGCAGTATATAGGCGATGCATCATCACTGCGTCGGAAACTAAAGGTCTAGAAGATCTAAAACAGGGCTTTTATTTGATCTTGAAGTTAGACGGGCAATATTTACCTAAAGTCCTTCAATTAGCCTCATGATTTTTAAGGGTGGATTCCAGATTTTTGTGAATAAAACGGCTAATAGATGCATATAGAAGCCAAGTGTAGAAGCCTGAAACCAAGTTTGCACTCTACGTTATGAGTTCCCCACAGAAACTTTAGAGAATTTATGCTTTAAAATAATATTATTCATCATCGTAATAGCTCATCTCAATACAATTTTTTTATAGTAGTTTTCCTTTCTAGATCTATGAGTAAAAGCAACGAGTTCTTGACTTGAAATTAACTATAAAATAAAATACGAAGCTTAAAGCAAAATGCATTTACGCGAGATGCGACTTCAAATTTCATAACGCTTACCTCCTATTATCTAATAATATTGCTTGAAACCTCGTAAATAACACATTCAAATAGGAGGATAGCGGCTAAATGTGGTAAAACATCCTGAAATTACGAAATTTTTATTCGATTGATCAGCGCGACAGGCAGTGGCTGCATCGCTTAATCTATTACGAAAGAAAAATATAAGCGGTCATGCACAAAAGAAAAAAAATTTTACAGTCGGTAGCTCAATTATTTTAGAGTAATGTTCGCAAACCAGAACAGCTCCTATTCCATCTTACTAATGCACTAAGGCTTACATGTCTTCTGTCCGCTCGAAATTCCCGAGTGTATTCTAGATAACATGTTCCGTTGAGGCTCGACTCCTATTTACCAGTTTGATGAGCCGCGAATGGTTGAGATATGAGCCTTTCGGATACTGCTTGCAAACATCGCAGGTGACGTAGCGAATGTGCTCTCTTCTTTTGTAGCATCGTGTTATTAAGTAAGTCCTAAGGAGCAAGGTAGGGAAGCTTTGTGAGTGGAAAACGATTCTCTCAGAAAGGTCTTGTATCATCTACGGAAAATAAACTGTTCTCTGAATGCTACGTAATTCAATATTTTCTATGTAAGAGACCATTAATAATTTATTAGCTTAGGAGCAGACCACATTTCAGTAGATGTTCTATAAGATACGGACTGCATTCAATTTCATCTGCATCATGCTCCTGTTTATAAGCTAATAATTTCATGAAATTTCTGCCCGCGGAGAATATTTTTGATTCCTTTTGGAACATATTAGGTTTCAAAAGATTTTGCTACTCATCAATGATCAGCCTTTTAAAAAATACTCCTAGGCATCACGCAGTTTTGGTCAATAACCAGGAATTAAAATAGTTCGGCATGTTGAACTCATTAGCTTAGTGTGTTATTGCTTTAGTTTATTTTTGAGATGTTAAGTAGGTGACGTGAGCTCAGGCGATATGTGCTCCTAAAATACAGACCTGCACATAATGTATAAAAAACCTTGAAAAATGCAGGGTTTCTCGAAACCTCGGCAATAATTCATGAGTAGTACTGGAGTTAAGAAAATTTACTCGAAAAACTCATAGAGCTGTCTTCTTTGAGAAGACAGGCGTCACAGCTGTATCTCATGTGTATTCCAGCATAAATCCGGATATGCAAGTTTCGATGTGGCTCTAATGTAGTCGCAGGATCGTCATTCGCTTGCACTAGTTTACGAAGATGCGTTCGCTTCCACATACTTTGGCTTATGTGCTTTTATAAGTAGGGCAATTCAACCATCGATTTTGATATGTTTGCAAACTATTTGAAAGAAAGCTACGACTAATGATAATTGCAATTTTGGTAGCAATTTTGTTAGCCACCTCTGTTGCTGCAGATGGAATTTTTACTTCAATAAGTTCCATCACTGCACCCTCTAACAGCTTTCCAGAGACTCCAAGTTGGACGGCGGTTGTGGCATGGAGCATTGACGGTTCTACCGTTAGCGCTGGTCAGCTGTTTACTTTGCACATGCCTTATGTGTTCAAGTTTACTTCCACTTCTACTACTATATCATTGGTTGCCGGAGGTACAACTTTTGCTACTTGTAATCTTTACGGAGGTGAAAATATTGTTGACTATTCAGAAGTCCAATGTACAACGACGTCAAGTGTGACTTCACTGACTCTTGCTACTGGCCTGATCAGCTTTCCGTTTACATTTAATGCCGGATTTAGTGCTGACTCAGTCAATTTGGAAGCAGCATCTGCCTTCACAAGTGGATCAAATACCATTACGTGGACTTCAGGAACTAACCTGCTTTCGAAAACAGTGTCAATGGCTGCAGCTGGATTAAATTCGGTGAATGAAAATTATGTTGGTAATAGAAAGATAGTCAGTCTTGGCCAAAATCAACACTATCTTCTAGGTCGATCATGTACCTCTACTTCATCAGGTACCTTGGGATTTCAATTCACTTCCTCATCATCAGACTTTAAAATGCTTTGTTCGTCATTAGAGGCATATATGACAAATCAATTAAATGTGTTCAATTTCCCCCAAACTGCAAGCCAAGATTTCACAATAAGCACAGCATGTTCAGGAACCACATATACTTTGACGTATTCTAACTTACCAGCAGGATATCGCCCTTACATAAATATACTCACTCAATCTGTCAATGGAAATCTCAAAGTTGCCTATACGGTTAAAACAAAATGTGGTTCTAGTGCGCTGGTTGATACTAGTGGCTCCTTTAGTTGGACAGACTATTCCAACTCTGATACCGGTTCGGATGGAATAGCGATTACGCCAACTGTAGTTACAAAGACATACTCTGGATCGACCACTAGGGTCACAACTTTACCATATAGTTCTACCTCTGGTGCTACGAAAACTATCGAAGTAGATGTCCCAATTCCAACTGTCACCACAACAAAGACATGGACAGGGAGTGGGACAGTTACTTCCATTTATTCAGGAACTATTGGGGGAACTGGTACTGTTGAGGTTGATTTACCGATTCCAACAGTTACAACGACTAAGACTTGGACAGGAAGTGGGACAGTCAATTCTACTTACTCAGGAACTATTGGAGGTACTGGTACTGTCGAGGTTGATGTCCCAATTCCAACAGTTACAACAACGAAGACATGGG